TTGTTTGGTGGGCCAGGCTGGATTCGAACCAGCCAGCTCAGGTGTATGTGGCTGGCACCTTAGCCGCTTGAGCCATAGGCACTGAGCCCTATTTGTCATTTTTTGAAAAATGTTCCTTAACGCCGGGTGTACTGGCTCATACCTGTAATTCTAGCACTTTGGGAGGCCAAGGTGGGAGGATCGCTTGAGGCCAGGAGTTTGAGACCTGCCTGAGCAACATAGTGAGTCCTTCGTCTCTACAAGAAATAGAAAAATCAGCCAGACGTAGTGGCGCATATTCGTAGTTCCAGCTACTTGGGGGACTGAAGCAGGAGGACCACTTAAGCCCAGCCCAGAAGTTTCAGGCTGCTGTGAGTTATGATGATACCACTGCATTCTACCCCAGGTGACAGAGTGAGACCCTGTCTCAAAAATAAGTTCCTCACAAAAAAAAAAAAAAAAAAAAGTTCCTTAATCTGGGACGAGATAGGCAAAGTCTGAACAACCTGAGAGTTTACATATTCTAATTATTCTGAAATCATATCTATCAAAAGTTTAAGGCTTGGCACCCATGGCTCAAGCAGCTAAGGCACCAGCCACATACACCAGAGTTGTTGGGTTTGAATCTAGCCCGGGCCTGGCAAACCACAATGAAAATTGCAACCAAAAAATAGCCAGGCATTGTGGCGGGTCCCTTGGGAGGCTGAAGCAAAAGAATCACTTAAGCCTAGGAGTTGGAGGTTGCTGTGAGCTGTGATGCCACCGCAGTCTACCCAGGGCAACAGCTTGAGGCTCTGTCTCAAAAAAAAAAAAAAGTTTAGGATTTCCTGGCAGTGCCCTTAGCTTAGTGGGTAGGGCATAGCTCAGTTTATACATATAGAATTTTTGTTTTTTTTTGAGACAGAGCCTCAAGCTGTTGCCCTGGGTAAGGTGCCGTGGCATCACAACTCACAGCAACTTCCAATTCCTGGGCTAGAGGGATTCTCTTGCCTCTGCCTCCCAAGTAGCTGGGACTATGTAGGTGCCTGCCACAACACCGGTGATTTTTTAGTTGCAGCAGTCATTGTTGTTTGGCAGGCCTGAGCTGGATTCAAACATGCCAGCTCAGGTATATGTGGCTGGTGCCTTAATACATAGAATTTTTTTTTCCTTTTATTTATTTATTTATTTATTTATTTTTTGCAGTTTCTGGCCGGGATTGGGTTTGAACCTGCCACCTCCGCCATATGGGGCTGGTGCCCTACCCTTTTGAGCCACAGGTGCTGCCCAATTTTTCTTTTTTTTAGAGACAGAGTCTCACTTTGTTGTCCTTGGTAGAGTGCCGTGGAGTCACAGCTCACGCAACCTCCAGCTCTTGGGCTTAGGGGATTCTCTTGCCTCAGCCTCCTGAGTAGCTGGGACCATAGGCACCCGCCACAACGCCCGGCTATTTTTTTTTTCTTGCAGTTTGGCCGAGGCCGGGTTTGAACCCACCACCCTTGGTACATGGGGCCGGTGCCCTACTCACTGAGCCACAGGCACCGCCCTATACACATAGAATTTTAATGACATTGTGTTTACATGTTGATAAAATATGATTTGCATAGATACTCCTCTGTTGAGCATAAGGATGGTTTGTGATCATTGACTATTCTAATCATCTTTCTATAATATTTCAGAAATATTGATTTGTGAGGGAAATTATTAGTTTTGAGGTAAGGTGAGGGAACCTATAATAGGAAAGAACTGACATATAAGCAACAGTGTTCCACCTTTGTTTATTTAGGGTAAATGAAATGTTGGTATTAGTGGCTTTGTTTCCTCATTTATTTTTTGCTCCCCAGGCCTATATACCCTTCTAGTGTCATAGAACTTGAATTGTCCAGCTGTTGGGTGTGGGATGTGATTTTGAATCATGGCCACTTTGTGTCCAATAAAGGTGCTGTTGTCAAGACCAATGCAAATGAGGAGAAGACAGATGAAGAAGAGAAAGGTAACACACCTTAGAGTTATATAAATATCGTTCTACATTCTAAGAAAATGGATTGTTATAAGGCTTCATTTTTTTTTTTTTGGAGACAGAGTCTTACTATGTCACCCTCAGGAAAGTGCTGTGACCTCGCAGCAACCTCAAACTCTTGGGCTTTTTATTTTTGCAGTTTTTGGCTGGGGCCGGGTTTGAACCCACCACCTCTAGCATATGGGTTGGCGCCCTGCTCCTTTGAGCCACAGGCGCCAACCAAGTCTTCATTTTTATACACAACTTGGCTTGACTTTAATAGGAGTAACAATGCCTGGGCAGAACCTGTGGCTCAGTGGATAGGCGTTGGCCCCATATACTGAGGGTATCAGGTTCGAACCTGGTCCTGGCCAAACTGCAACAAAAAAATAGCCAGGCATTGTGGCAGGTACCTGTAGTCCCAGCTACTTGGGAGGCTGAGGCAAGAGAATCGCCTAAGCCCAGGAGTTAGCGGTTGCTGTGAACTATGACGCCACGGTACCCCACTGAGGGCAATAAAGTGAAACTCGGTCTCAAAAAAAAAAAAAAAAAAAAGAATAGGAGTAACAATGCCTAGTGTAGAAGTTTGACATAAGTGTTAATAGGTGAAAGAATTCAAATGGTTTCTGTCTTAGAGAAAATTTACATTGAACTACACAATTGAATGATTATACAGAATGTTACAAATTTTAAGTCACATCTCCATTGTCTAATAAAATTAAGCTTAATGGATTGGGTATGGTAGCTCACTTATGTAATCCTAGCACTCTGGGAAGCCAAGGCAGGAGGATCACTTGAGCTCAGGAGTTTAAGACCAGCCTAAAAATGGAAAAATTTAGCTGGGTGTGGTGGTGTATTCCTGTAGACCCAGTCATTCCTGAAGCAGGAGCATCACTTGAGTCCAGGAGTTTAAGGTTGCTGTGATGGCACTGCACTCTAGCCTGGATGACAGAGCAAGTCTGTCCGTGTCTGTTGTCTGTCTGTGTGCCTCTCTCTCTCTCTCTCTCTAAATATATATATATATATATATATATGCAAGCTTAATGATATTTTGACACATTTAACATGGATAAGAAGATGTGAAGAGCTTATATAAGCTTCATTAATTCCTGGGTTTGTATTTTTTTTATAATTATGATGTGTTTGTAAAGCTTGTAATTTTAAGTTTATATTATAGAGTGGAAATTGGAGAGTAAATATTTGCTCTCTATTTAGATGGAAGACATAAAAAACCTCAGGAAAGGAGGGCTGCTAGCATTCTGGGGAAGAATAGGAGGCCCCAGTGGGTGATATAAGTATCGCAACCTTTCTATTTAATAAAATAAATTTTTAAAATTGTATTTTGAAATCAAAATTATTATGTACCTTGGAATTAGAAGGTTTGGTACAACAACTACAGGTTTTTACCCTAAATACAGATGGCAGTTGAATTCCAATGAACTCATGGTGGTTTCTTGGGCTTTTAAAAATCTTGGTTCTCTTTTTCCTGACAGAGGACAGAGCTGCCCAGTCCTTACTCAACAAGCTGATCAGAAGCAACCTTGTCGATACCACAAACCAAGTGGAAGTCCTGCAGCGGGATCCAAACTCCCCCCTCTACTCCGTGAAGTCTTTTGAAGAGCTTCGGCTGTGAGTATTTGTTTACTTTCTGAGTCTCTCCTTTGAGTTTACTTTATTTATTTATTTATTTATTTATTATTGAGACAGAATCTTACTATGTTGCCCTCAGTAGAGTGCTGTGGCGTCACAGCTCACAACAACCTCAAATTCTTGGGCTTAAGCGATTCTCTTGCCTTGGCCTCCCAAGTAACTGGGCCTACAGGTGCCCGCCACAATGCCCGCCTAGTTTTTGGTTGCAGTTGTTTAACTGGCCTACGCCAGGTTTGAACCCACCACCCTCGGGATGTGTGGCTGGCACTGTAACCACTGTACTATGGGCGCCAAGCCTACTTTTTATTTTTTTTAACCTTTTCCAGCTGATTCTAGTATCCCTATTGTGTACAGGGGTGTCCAATCAGAGTCACTGGCCACACAAAATCCAGGATGACTATGAATCAACCCTACAAAAATTATAAACTTAAAACATTATAAGTTGTTGTTGTTTTTTTTTTTCGTGCAACTTGATTGCGAAGTTTTCAAGTGTGAACTTTATAAGGACAATGTCTTGTCACAATGTCACATAAAATAAACATATGTATTCTCCTGCTATTTGTACACATGCATAGGCCAACATAGTGAGACTCTGTCTCAAAAACAAAAAGCAGATATCGATGTATTAGTTTCTAAAATACAATAGCAAATATCCCACTAGTTTTATGTTGCCCACCTTTCTTTTTATTTTTCTTTTTTTGGGGGGCGGGCACAGAGTCTCACTTTGTTGTGTTTGGTAGAGTGCCATGGTGTCACAGCTCGCAGCAACCTCTAGCTCCTGGGCTTAGGCAATTCTCTTGCCTCAGCCTCCCGAGTAGCTGGGACTACAGGTGCCCACCACAATGCTCAGCTATTTTTTTGTTGCAGTTTGGCCGGGGTCAGGTTTGAACCCGCCACCCTCGGTATATGGGGCCAGAGCCCTACTCACTGAGCCACAGGCGCCACCCTATTGCCCACCTTTCTTTTACTTTTATAATAATAAATTTCAAAAATACCCAAAGACGTTTTACTACTTAGATATGTACATTTTCTGTATTAGTGATCACAAACTTGGGATCTGCTCAATCATTTTTAAAAAATCTCTGAATGGGCTGCTACATAATTAGGATATTAGGTGACACTGTTTTTTGCTAACCCACGGTTGTGAATATCATGAAAATTATGCACTGACCATTATTTTTTTTTAACACATCAACTTTTGTTAGTGTTTGTGTATATAATGTGTGCTCCAAAACGACGATAACTCTTCTTCCAATGTGCTATAGAGAAGCCAAAAGTTGGACACTCCTGATAGGTAGAGATGAAAGGCCTTTTACGTAGATTATTTTTCATCAGAATAGAACATTTTTAGCTAATGCAAGTTTTATAAAAGAAGTTGGCTCAGCACCTGTGGCTCAAGTGGCTAAGGCGCCAGCCACATACACCTAAGGTGGCGGGTTTGAATCCAGCCTGGGCCCGCCAAACAACAATGACGGCTGCAACCAAAACAAAACAGCCGGGCGTTGTGGCGGGCACCTGTGGTCCCAGCTACTTGGAAGGCTGAGGCAGGAGAATCGCTTGAGCCCAGGAGTTGGAGATTGCTGTGAGCTGTGATGCCATAGCACTCTACCCAGGGGGACAGCTTGAGGCTCTGTCTCAAAAAAAAAAAGTTAACTGATTTGAGATATTAAAATTCCCAGGCAATAACTTCAGCTATTCAATTCAGCACAACTCAGTGATTGTTGGTTACAAACTGTATGTAATAGTAAAAAGGAAAAAGGTCATTCTGGTATTTTGCTGCTTCCTTCAACCAAGGAGACTGACTTTCATCTCTGTTTATCTAGGAAACCACAGCTTCTCCAGGGAGTTTATGCCATGGGTTTCAACCGTCCATCCAAAATACAAGAGAATGCATTGCCTTTGATGCTTGCAGAACCGTATGTATTCTGATACAGCTTTATTCTCCATTTCATTCTTTTTTTTTTTTTTTTTTTGAGACAGAATCTTACTTTGTCGCTCTTGGTAGACTGCCATGGCGTCACAGCTCACAGCAACCTCCACCTCTTGGGCTTAGGTGATTCTCTTACCTCAGCCTCCCAAGGAGCTAGAACTATAGGTGCCCACCACAACACCTGGCTATTTTTTTGTTGTTGTTGCTGTTTGGCCGGGGCTGGGTTCAAACCGGCCACACTGGGTATATGGGGCCAGTGTCCTACTCACTGAGAGCCACAGGTGCTGCTCCTCCATTTCATTCTTAAGTTTCTATTTTTTAAAACTTGTTACTATTAAAAAAAAACTATAGTAGCAATACGTGTTCTTTGTAGTAAAGTTAAAAAATAGAAAGAAGAAAAAGGAAATCATCTGGACCAGGTGTGGTGGCTCACACCTGTAATCCTAGCATTCTGGGAGGCTGAGGCAGGTGGATTGCCTGAGGTCACAGGGTCCAGACCAGCCAGAGTGAGGCCTTGTCTCTAAAAATAGCTGGATGTTGTGGTGGGCACCTATAGTCCCAGCTACTTGGGATGCTGAAGCAAAAAGATTGCTTGAGCCCAAGAGTTTGAGGTTGCTGTGAGCTGTGACACCATGGTACTCTACAGAGGACAACAAAGTGAGACTCTGTTAACAAAAAAAAAGAAAGAAAGAAAAGAAATCATCTGTAATCTCCTTCTCCCACACTATTTAAATCTTGGAGTAGAGATTTCTAGACTTTATAAACATGTATATGTATAACTTTTTTTTTCTTTTTTAGAGACAGAGACTCATTTTGTTGCCCTCAGTAGAGTGCTGTGGCGTCACAGCTCACAGCAACCTCCAGCTCATGGGCTTAGGCGATTCTCTTGCCTCAGCCTCCCTAGTAGCTAGGACTACAGGCGCCCACCACAACACCTGGCTATTTTTTTGTTGTAGTTTGGCCAGGGCTGGGTTCAAACCTGCCACCCTTGGTATATGAGGCCTGCACCCTACTCACTGAGCCATAGGCACTGCCCTTTTGTATAACTTTTTAAAAAATGGAACCATATGTAATGTTTTACATGCTATATTTTTAAAATTTCATTATATGGTCATCTTTCTAGGAACAGCTTGCTTTTGCCACATTTAATTTCTTTTTTTTTTTTTT